TCAGGTTTCCCAAGTAGAATACAAGATATTTTTATATCTTAGTCCTAAGCAGATTTACAAGAAATTTTCATAAATTACACTATATAATATTTCTGAGGCAAAATTGTAGGAAAATTTAATAAATACTACTACCTCAAAATCTAGTTTTTTAAAATTATGGTGTTACTTGAAGACAAATAACATTTTAATTTGAGGGATTTTGATGTGTCCTAAAGCATGCTTAATTTATTTTACCTTTTAAACTTGTTTTTGGATGAAATTGTACTTTAAATAAGAGTATTTTTTTGTTTTTCTTGCAGGTATAACAGGTAGGACACATATCATGAAGTGGAGTTGAAACGGGGCAAAATGCAGCTAAATGGAGCATATTGGAAGTAGCAAGCTTGGCGCCTAGGCACCAGACTCTGGAGGCCAAGGAGCTCCAACTAAGCGCCTTGGCACCAGCTTATTAGCTCCTAGGCGCCAGAACTAACGCAACAACCTGAGAGGTCAGCGCCTAGGGACCAACTTTTGGGCACCAAGGCGCGGTCGTTTTTGTGCAGTTGTTTCACCACAACTTGGGGAGTTATGTGGTGGTTTTAAGCAATTCAAGAGGAGAATTTTAGAAAGGTCTGAAGCATTCTGAAGCAGGGGAGAACTTGAGAGAAGAAAAGGAGTCCTAGGGAGATCTAGGGTTTGTACTTTTCTTAAGAGATTGGTGAGGGGTTTAGAAAGAAATTTGTAAGGGAAGCATTGCAGCATTACAGGGACAACTTGGATTCATTATTGGAGGAACTTTCCCACTCTTTTCAGAGAAGAAAAACTAAGTATTGTGTTTTAATTTGTCTTAAATTTGTTGTAAACACATTTTTAGTATATTTATTTTGTTAAATGATGAAGATTTTCATTTTAATCTTCATGCTTTGTGAGTAGATTTTCTTTATTTTTCTCTTGTGATGAATAGGTAAAATTTGTAGGATATGTTAAATGCTTTTACAATTGGATTTTGATACCAATGTGATGAATATTAATCTATGTTTCATTTATTTTTTGTATTGGTCATATAAATTGTTAAAATTCGTTGTGATCCATTAAGATTCGGAAAAGCGGTGGAAGAACAACTAGTATATTCACATTGTTCGATAGGATATGGTGAAGTAGTTTGGAGGCAATGCAAATAAATAGAGAATTAGGCTTTAGTGGGTTCAATTTAAGGTTTAAGGAATTAAAACTAGGTTAATCAAAGTTCTTTACGTACTCGGAACAAGGTAAATAAGATTTATGTTTCTATTTATTACTAGCCATATTAACAATTCTCAATATTCTTTCCTACAATCCACTTAGGCAATCACAAGAAAAGGTAGTTTTCATATCTTAAAATTCATCAAACCAATTGATATAGTTAGGTTTAGTTTTCAACTTAGTGTTGTAGATTAGGAGTATTTGTTAGAAAAATCATTGTAATTTGTATTACAAATTAAGACCTTAGTGTAGTAGACTAGAACTTCGCCTAAGGGACTGGTTACCTCCTTCCCTGTGGGATTGACAACCCGAACTCAATAGAGCCCTATATTACTTAAACGATACGTATACTTGCGTGAGAAACCCCAGTGAGAAATAATATCTAATTTTAAGAACTTAATTAATTTTCTAGGGAGCGAATCAAGTTTCTAGTGGCAATACTAGGACTTATATTATGTGATAATCGTGGGGGCGAATCAGTAGCAAACACATGACAATTAGTATAGAGAGAGTTCGAAGACATTTTGTTCGCTAGCTTATCACCATGGTCGCCACCATTCAGGGAGATTCAAATTATCCTCACCTTGGATGGGTTTGAACAAACCTTGGGTTACATTTGGAGAATTCTACAGATTACACTGGACACAAAATCTCTGTTAAACTCAGTCGAGTACCCCAGAATGGTTGGACCATTATGGATCTTTGCTCAACAATAGCAACAACATTAACAAACTTTTATCCCACTAAGTGGGGTCGGCTACATGAATCCTTTTTCTCCATTGAGTCCTATTGAGTGTCATATTTTCATTTAATTCTAATAAATTAAAATCATTTTTTTATGCAATATGCCCAAGTCTTTCAAGGTTTATCTCTAACTTTATTAACATAAGTCGAATCTAAAGCATCTACTATCCTAATCGGTTCATCAGATGGTCGACGTTTAATATGACTAAAACATCTAAGACCACTCTCTCTAATTTTGTCGGTCACTGGAGCTACACAAACCCTATCACGGACATATTCATTTTGCATTTTGTCTCTAAGTGTCTCTAAGTGTAATTTTTGTCTCTAAGTGTAATGCCACTCATCCACCTAATCATGCTCATCTCGACAACACTTAACTTGTTTTTATGCTTCTCTTAAAGTCCAAAATTCAGCGCCATAGAGCATTTCAGATCTTACCACTGCCTTATAAAATTTTTCTTTCAGTCTAAGCGGTATTTTTCTATCACACAATAAACCCGAAGCATTGCTCCACTTCAACCAACCAACTTGAATTCAACAAATGACATCCCCATCTATATCACCATCACTTTGAACAATAGACCTGAGATATCAAAAGCGGTCACAACTTTTAATTATTTGATCACCCAAAGTTACAATTCTGTTATTAGAGCTACTACTCCTAAAGTTACATTCCATGTATTCAGTTTTAGTTCTACTCAAACGAGAAGGGCTTCATCAGCAAATAGCATACACCAAGGTACATCCTCCTTTAAATGTCCACTAAAAGCATTCATAACTAAGGCAAAAAAATATGGGCTTAAAGCTGATCCCTAATGTAATCCAACATAAATAAGAAAATACTTGTTCAATCCTCCTTCTGTTCAAACACACGTAACAGCTCTAGCAAGCCTATCTTTAATGATTTGAATCTAAATGCTATTAACTCCTTTTTTGCAAGAACTCTTCAAAGGATATCTCATGGACGTTTGCTTGCGAGTGGTAAAAACCCTTCAAGTGTTTTGGGGGACAGTGCAATCGCCAGTGAGATCAAAATGCTTCTCGAACTGGAGTCGAAGACTCCTCAACCCCAACAGATTACAACGAATCCATTACTTTCAACATGTAGACAAAAGCTTTGATGAAAGAAGTTGAAACTCCACCCCCGTGAGATTAACGCTGGAGCTTTCTTGAACAATTTTCTCAACGTACTGTAGTACGAAGGGAGAGATGAGAGATAGGACGTCGAAACAGTCTCGTTTTCCTTATACTTTTTTTTTATTATATATCTGGAACATTAAGATTTGAAAGTTAGTTTTTGGATTATTTTCTATCAATGTCATCCAGGTTTTCCCATTCCAGGGCTATATCCAAAGAAGAGTAGGTGCTCCGACTGTAACTTGCCCAAGGTGCAGTCTCTCATCTCTAAGGATGAGTGGTGGAATGGTTATACCTAAGGATGAGTGATGGTCGGTTGTAGCTCGATCCTGCGGAAATACTAATCCTATTTCTCCCATCATGCGGAAAACACCATCGTTCCCCTCTCTCCTTGCAGCTACTGCTGCCCCCAGCCACTTGCTTCAGTGGTTTCGCTGTCCAAGCCCCCCACCTTCACTACCTCAACTCTGCCACTCCTTCCATTTGTTTTTTTTTTACCTCTGTCCCTTCATCTGGCATCACCGTCATAGCCCCGCATGCCCGCCCATCGTTGCCTTATCGTAGTCCACCCATCTGGCAACACTGTTACGACCCACAACTCCTCTCCCTACTATCATGAGCCTACTCGACCCTTCCAACTCCCTACCACCACTTCTCTGTTGCAGCCACCTCACCATACCCAGTTGTCGCCCACATTCTTGCCATCAAATTCCATGCCGCCTTCTGACCATTCCCCCACTTCTATGCATGCTTTTTTTTCCCCTTAAACAACAGCACCACCACCCTCGACCTAAGCCCTAGTTGAGTTTTTGTCGTGTCTTTTGCTATTTACTAGTTTCGAGTGTCTTTAGTTGTAATCCCTATTTGATTTTAGTAAAAAAAATTGCATTTCAGTAAACATTTGGGTTTAACATCGGTATCAATATATCTCCCCTCTTGTACAATGAAATGAGCAATAAAATTCTTAAAAGTTTTTTCCACATTGTTTTGTTTTCTACAATTTCTAATGTCATTTAAACAAACAATGAAGTCTAGTAAATTAATTTTTCCCACATTTTCTCACCTCAAGCTATCAAATGAGGCAAAATTTTCTAGAGCTTCCTCCTAGGAGGAACACTTGCCCAAAAGCTTTCATACAAGAAAAGTCTCATGACGTAGTAGCTTAAGAAAAAAACACATCATCAGAAGACCAGAGTTAACATAGCAGGTCACCAATTGGCCTTGCAACATCTACTACAGCATATGAAAATCACCCTATGATTGAAAGATTGGCTTTTCAGGGTGGTTCCATAAAGGACAAAAATTAATTAAACCCATCCATCTGATCATTTCACAAGGGTTTGAACTCAGCCTTTTCCACTCATTCCAAGGCTCCAACAAGTTAACCAAATTTTTTGTCGTTACTTAGTATATATGGAATTAATTATTTATTTAATACATAGTAAATAGCTTACTCTTTATTAAAAGCTTCGATTTATTAATTACAAAACAATAATCAATACACACTTCTTCAATTCACCATAACCATATGGTATAAACCTTCAAAATACATTAGTAAACTTCTTACAATTTTACATCAATCAAAATAATAACAAAAAAATTAATCCAAAAGCTAAACAAACTAAATAATGCATGCTAGCTATTAACATTTATGATTGCCACATCAGTACTGCGTCTAATGACTTGGGAAATTTCCAAATAAAAGAAAGGTGTCAATTTCATCATTCTCCTAATTTCAAGGAGGAAGCTCATACCAAGAATTTTTCCATCAAATGTGCCCTTATGAAATCTAATTAGAAGCATGAAGCTAATCCTAAAAATTTTGCTACCGAATGAGCCCTTATGAAATTTATTTCCTTAATCAAATTACTCATGATAAAAGGTTCCAAAAAAGATACCTTAATGCGCAACCTTTCAGCAACCTCTGACTGCTCATCATATTCATCAAGTACCTAAGAACATGAGAAATCAAAATAACATAAGGTCAATAATGTTAGTATTGCTACAACAACAAGTATACCTTGCCCATATCTAACGACATGAATATGCCAAGGTTAAAAGTTATGACTTGGTAAAATATTTGAACTTTCTCATAAGCTAATGTTGACAGCTTTAGGTCAATCATTCATCATTGCCATTACCATTAGCCTTATCCCAACTATTTGGTGTTGCTTCTATGAATTCCCAATTTTGTTGAGCATCTCCTTGGGAGTTAAACCTATGATTCAAAAAATATTTTAGGCAACTTATATTCATGTAACCATCTATCAAGTCCTTATTCTCCCAAATCCCTAGAAATTAATTTTATATAATCATCAAATACATGTATTTTCTATCCTTTATTTTTCAAGTCGCAAATACCTAAATCTATTTTCAGTTATCTCATCTTAAATAAATGATAGGCAACCTGTTGTCTAACTTACAATAAAATAATTATAAGAGTAATTAGGCCACAATGTCCAATAGAACAAGGTCATAAGTCCTAATTTCTAGGCGGCCTCTCCATAACCAAAGTCATAAGTCTCATTTCAAGGCCCAATCATCGAATTTCAATAAAAAACCCGAAACCCAAAGACATCCCATACCAAAGTTGGAAGCAAAGCATAAGTTACATCAAAATGGTTATCATACATAAAATATAACAGCAAGTTCAATTAAAAACAAATAAACTAATGCAAGATACATGAAATCAATTTGATTAAAATTCTATGTAGTTTCAACACAATTATTATGAGATTAAAAATCATATTTCCCCATCTGATGGAAGGCATAATCCTATGAAATTTTTAGAATGAATAGATATTTTAGAGAAATTCACTGAAATAATTTTTTTTTCAAAATAAATAATTTGCTAAAAAAACAATTAATGAAGCTTCCCCGATATTTTGGCCAAGTTATGTTACCAAGGAAAAACTAATACATGTTGACAAGGGGCAATAAATTAAGGAATAATATTTGACATTCACTAAGTATAAAGACTAATTGCATGATAAAATTAAGAAATTCGATAAACTGATTATAAGATTTGAATATATTCACAGGTAACTTGTAGCAAAAAAATTTATCAAGAGAACATATTATTATTAACATAGATTTTATTAAAGGTCATATGCAAGTTAATTTATTAATTAAGCTACAAGTCACCAAAGACAAAAAAATGAAAAAAAATAAGGCTTTATAAAGAGCTTTAGAGTTCGGAAGATACCATAAAGACAGTGATCCTCTCTAACAATAACTACTACATTGATTAATATTTCAAAAGCAAAATTATTATATGCCTCATCTAAAAGTCAAATAAACACACTAACACAAAAATCATTTAAAGATGATTTTAAGAAACTATACATTAACATTGTCCCTTTAAATAGCCAAATTAATATTGATTTTGTATCTAGTTCTTAGTTTTTTATTTACAAATTCGTTAAAAAGAACTTACCAAAAGAGTGAATTTGCATTAATATTTTAGAAGTTCTAGTAATGGCAATTGATTTTAAGAAACAATGAGAAATAAGATTTAATCTATCAAGTTAAATCTAAAGGTACATAATTCATCATGATTAACTATTAGAGTTATTTTACTAACAGCCAACTTACTCATATTGACGTATCAAATTTTGTGTGGTTTGATAGTTATCAAAAGAAAAGCTTATGAAATCAATATATAGACTTTTTTATGAAATCAATATATAGATTTTTTTTCTTCATCTTCATTTTCTCTTGGTATTAGTCATACTAACAGGAAGGCTTGTTTGACCTTCGTAACAAATTAGGGTTTAGGGTTTAGGGTTCACGCTGATTGATAAAAATCTTGTTGTTTTCATGAATCCACGATCGACCTAGTAGAGCGTTAAAAGAGGTCTCAGTGTCGATGATACGAAATTTAGCGGTTGTCACGAGTTCTCCAACCTTCATAAGTAATGTAAATGATCCAAGGGCTCTTTCTCCCTTTTGGTTGAATCCTCTTAACATGATTTTGTCAGCCGTAAGCTCTTGAGCTTCAACATCCAAATAGACCAATGTTTGTAGGCTCATCAAGTTAAGAGAGGCTCCAGGATCTACTAAAATTCTGGAAGCCGGGATGAGGTATGGCTATGATCAAATGAGGGATTTTCACCCTAGATACATAAAGGGAACCACCAGAGGGAGAGGAATTTGGGGCGGAGATGTTAGGGTTAGAAAATTGAAAATGTCGATCTTCAAAGGGAAAGTCGCACATTGTTGGGTGTACCGGGTGAAGCTATGTTTCATAGTGAATGGGCTAAAGGAGGAGGAGAAGCTCATGCGCATGGGGTTATATTTGGAGGGGGAAAATCCTAGCATGGTTTCAATAGAGGGAGACTAGATATTCGATCCACTCATGGGAGGGACAAGAGCAAAATTAGATGATTTTGCTCTTGTAAGCTTTATGTTTGAAATAGATTTTTTTAGATTATATATACAAATTTGAACCTAAATACCAAACGGTCTAATAATGGTATGAAAAGATTTTCACTTATTGAATGCAGAATACCATCTTAACAAAGCATTGTTAAGATACAATCCATGGAGGGTGTGCTATAAGTTTTACGTTTATATGTGAAAGAAAATTTCTTTAGAAATCATTAATAGGCCAATAAAGAAAAGGAGAAATGGAAATAAATACTATGTGTTTCAATCCATAGTATTTATTAGATGATGACAGTCATGCCTCCTTTCTTTATTAATTTTTCGGAACAGTCATGCCTCGAGATCCTTATTACCAAGTTTTGGTTTAATAAGGGGCTTCGAGATCCATTTCTACTAGATTACACTGATATGTGTGAAGCTAAACCTCAATATCTTGATATTGAGGTTTCCTCTATTCAAGACTATAATAGAGTGAGAATATTATGATCCTAAATGTTCTTTTTAGGCTTGGAATATTCCTCTGAAGGTACTCACTATCGTAATCACAATTATATAAAATAAAAGACAAGTTCCCTTTAATTCTAAATGTGAAGCCCGACCATGTTTTGAGCCAATATTTTACTCTATTCTCACTCTGAGTACCTTCAGAGGAATATTCCAAGCCTAAAAAGAACTATCTGTCGGGCTTCACAATGTTAATTTCTGGTTAACAGATCTTTTCTCTCTCTCATACGAGTCTGTGTCGACTTCAGAGACTTGAATAAAGTATGTCCGAAAGATGAGTTTCCACTACCAATACCAGAAATGATGGTGGATATTGCTTCAACACATGAAATATTCTCCTTCATGGATGGATCATCAGGATACTACCAAATAAAAATGGCTCCTGAAGATACAGCACTTACAGCTTTCAGAACACCAATCGAAATTTTCTGCTACACAGTAATGCCGTTTGGTTTAAAAAACGCCGGGGCAACATACCAACGAGCAATGACAAGGATTTTTTATGACCTCATTCACAATCAAGTAGAATGCTATTAGACCATTTGTATGATTTGAGGATCGTTTTTGAACGATTACAACAACATAATCTCAAGATGAATCCCCTAAAGTGCGCATTTGGTGTCACTTCTGGGAAGTTCCTTGGATTTGTTGTTCGTCATCGGGGAATCGAAATAATTGTTCATGCTCGTTGAAAGACACATATTTCATTAATTTGAAGATCATATGACTCGAAGTAGTTGTTATTTGAATTTCTCATCAATTTTATAAAACGTTCATCCAATTTTTGGTTTTTAGATAGGGGACCCCTCCCAAATCTTGAATTTGCATTTATATTTTAGAAGTTCTAGTAATGGCAATTGATTTTAAGAAACAATGAGAAATAAGATTTAATCTATCAAGTTAAATCTAAAGGTACATAATTCATCATGATTAACTATTAGAGTTATTTTACTAACAGCCAACTTACTCATATTGACGTATCAAATTTTGTGTGGTTTGATAGTTATCAAAAGAAAAGCTTATGAAATCAATATATAGACTGTTTTATGAAATCAATATATAGATTTTTTTTCTTCATCTTCATTTTCTCTTGGTATTAGTCATAAGGTATCCATTAGAAAATATATAGTTACTTCAGTATGTTTTTTCTTATATAAATTGTAATCTATTGTACCAAAAAATATATGCAGGAAACTTATAATTACATGAGAGAATTATAAGTTTACTGAAATGTAAAAATGAGATATATTGAACTCAAACAAAGAGATAGGATAATAATCAGAATAAATGCTGAAAATTTCCATATAAATCCTTGAGAAATTAACAGCCAGAAACATAAAATCATATAAAATCAAAAACTTGCCAGCTAGAAATCCGGTAAACTTTTGGTATTATTATGTGTTTATTTTCTCATTTTAATATATCATTTGTTTATGTGGCAATGCTCTCATTTACTTTCATTGATTGATGTTATTTCCTGATTAAAATCTTCGTATATACACAACTCTCTTGAGTAAAAAATAGATTTAACCAAGCTTGACTTTCAAAGTAATCTCATAAGGATATTAATCTCATCATCAAGTCTCGTGTTGCCTGCCACCTTCCAAACTTGAAATCCAATTGCAAACTATGGCTTTAGGTTGTTAAAGTTGTTCTCTTTATGTTATTGCATTCATCTCAAATAACTATTCGTGGAACTAATGGCCTTCTTTCATAGAGATGTACAATTGTGAGCTCTTTGAATTTTGTGGTTTGCAACTATTTTGGTAACTCTAAATGTGTGTTTAACGCGGCATTCCAACAAAGCGCTTTTGCACATTTATTTTATGCATTTTATACATGTATCTCCCACTGCTGCCCTTTATTAGAGTTTTACGATGGGGTGGGGAGCACACTGTCGGCGATAAAAAGTGAGGGTTTGGGGAGAGTTGCCCGTAAGAAGCTGTCGGTCACCAGAATCGAAATTTTGTCCCCTGCTTCTGAAGGACGCTTTAATTTACATATAGATTTAAGTTTAAAATCAAATATGAAAATCAAACTGACCCCATATTTTTCATAGTTT